ACTAGGTATAAAGTTCACCAAAAGGAGACTGCCATATGGTTCACCAGGAAAGAGTTTACGGGGGATGGGGGGAGCATAATTACTGGCCTACAGAAGATGGAGGGTGTAGGGGAAGGGAAAGGGGGAAAGGGGGGTGAAAGGAAGGGAAGGGAAAGGCTGCGAGGGGTGGAGTTAATGATGGAGATTGACTATATAGGGAAGTGTGGCCACAGCAATGATCTCAGAGCCTGGGGAACCTCCCATGGCCCCCAGATGCTGGGAGGGGACTTCTAGGGACATGTGCCACTTGGGAGAACAAGGGAAGGGCTATTTTTCTGGGGCAGAAACCTAACACTAGCAAGAACATATATAGAAGGCAGCCATCTAGAAGCAGGGAGAAGACCCTCACCAGGAACCAAACCTGTTAGTATCCTCTCCTTGGAGCTCTCAGCTTCTAGAACTGTGATAGAGAAAAGTTTGTTGTTTAGGCTACTCACTCTGTGATACCTTGTTAGAGTAGGTGGTGTGGACCTACTGCATACCTATGCTATACACTGAGGAAGGAACACAGATGGCCACCTATGAATGATGGATGATTCCATCTGTACTATTTTAATTGTGCAGTGGCATCCAAACCATATGAATTCAGTAAGAACTTTACTTTGAACTTCATTATTTTCTCAGGCCGTATGATCACATGGTGGGAAATAACTAGTAGTCTTCTTGTCCTGTTACTGAGCTATGATGTTTGGCAAGTGTATTAAATATATTTATATTAAATGCATATTTTTTGTTCTGTACTGGTACTGGGGTATGAATTAAGGACCTAGGTGATGTCCCTGAGCTATTTTGCTTAAGGCCAGCTAGTGCTCTACCATTTGAACCACAATTCCACTTTGGTCTTTTTGCTGGTTAGTTGGAGATAAATTTCTTGGATTTGTCTGCTGGGGCTGGCTTTGAACCTTCATCCTCAGATCTGATTGTCCTGAGTAACTAAAATTATAGGCATGAATCACCAGTGCCTGGCCTTAAATACATTTTTAAGTATTGTCAACTTGACATGAATTTATTGGGATGAAACGCTGTTATAAATCAAGGAGCATCTGCATGCCATAAATAGGGGGTGCTTCTGGCTGTGCTATGACGTGAAATTATTTGACTTTTTCTCTAAAGATGTTGAACATAGAATGAAAAAGAGTATCAACAATATTAGGACATGAACTAGCCAACATACTTGCTCTATCTGTGGTCACTGGTAGTAGTTGACGTGCAAATCTATTTGACCTTTGTTTGACCCCAGTCCTCTGCATGTTTGGATTCCACTGTATTCCTACCCTACAGAGAAGAAAAGAAAGATTCACTGGGCTTTGCTGGCTTACATCTGTAATCCTAGCTATTCAGGAGGCTGAAACCTGAGGATCATGGTTCAAAGCCAGCCTGGGCAAGAAAGATGAGACTCTTATCTCTGATAAACACACCCAAAAAAGCTGGAAGTAGAGCTGTAACTCAAGTGGTAGTACACTAGCCTTGAGCAAAAATGCTCAGGGACAGAGGTCAGGCAGAGAGAGAGAGAGAGAGAGAGAAAGACAGACAGACAGACAGACACAGACAGACAGACAAAAACAGAGAGACAGGGACAGAGAGACAGAGACAGAGAGAGAGAGACAGAGAGAGAGACAGAGAGAGAAAGAGAGAGAGAGACTGCTAGTACAAAGTGCTTTACGTGTATTCATGGTGGAAACATACTTAAGAAGCAAGAAGGAGCAGGCTGAAGGTTGGAATTGGTTTTAGGAAGAGTGTTTTATTTGAATCTGGGGAAGATCAATCCTATCCTAACAGATAATGAGGATGTTAGATCTCAGTCAGTCTCCTTAAGTCTACTCTACCTCAGGAGATTGCTGTGGAAATGATACACAGTGTGTTTGAAAGTACTTGGAAAATTGCCGAGCACTTTTAAAGGCTAGTTACAAGGATGTGTTGACTTTTGAGTTTGCCATCAAATCTTTCTTCAGTTAGTGAGAAACAACATGAATACCCAGGAGAACTGACTGACTACAGGTTGGCACTTCGTACAATGGAATACTACACAATAGTCAAGGGGCCAGGCAGTCTCCATGTTGCTGACTGCCTTGCAGACACGCAGGATAAAGCAAATGAGTAATTATGAGTAATTATCCATGATGTCCTTGAGAAGAGAAGGACTGGTGTAAGAAAGAAGAGGTTGAATAAAAACCCCATGCCTCGGAATTAGAAGCATGAACACCAGCTCATGATCTATCTTTTAACAATTCATTCCTTAGCCCATCCACTAATAAAGCCTGGAAGCAATGAACAATCTAAGTACACAGAGTAGGGCCTACACCAGGGCCTCTAAAATCTATTTTCTATGACGAGGAATGGGGTCCATGGAGACATAGTTTCTTCCCGGTGTAGAGGGGAAAAAAATAGTTGAATCTCCTAATTTCTTTGCTATCAAAGACTAATAAAATCATGATAGAAGGATCCAACTGCTCAGAGATGGCACGATCCAAGCATCAATAGGTAGCTGTCATCCCAGCTTCTTGGGAGGTGGAGACACAAGGATCACAACTTGAGGCCAGCTCTCTACCACCCACGCACACCCACCCACACATACCATACCCACCCCC